GTTCAGAGCGCTGCTAAACTAACCATTCAATGGTTTGAAATTTACAGATTCTCTAGGGAAATGATGAATTATATATTTGTATTTTTTAATGTTTACATGGATTTAATTTGCGGCAATTTTTTCTTTGCAACACTGAGAAATAGCGAAGATAGAATTTGGTGGAACATTAATGATTTTACAGTACCAATTACACTTAGTAAACGTTAGTTATTAAACCTTTAGGCGTGGCGTGGTGTGTGTGTTTTTTTTTACATTGATAGCGGTACTATGATATACATGCTGCAATGCAGTGTTTTACTCAACACATCGACACAGAAAGCAAGATTTCTCAATGTATGTGCATGTGAGATACGAATGTACTGAAATGCTGATGTTTTTTTTCTGTTTAATGTTCGGTGTGTACACTTCTATAGACAGTTTGTCTTTAGTTACCGCAGACGTATACATTGGTGTATGTTATGGCGACCAATTACAATACATGTATCATCGTTCTGCAAAGAATTGTACCTGTTGTTTTTTTTTATTTTGCTGACATAATTTACATATAGGAAAATAATTAAATTTGGTTAAATATAAAAGTTAGATGCATATTGGACTATCGCTAACCGCTGATATTAAATACCATTACCGATATATCCATCAACTATGGGTTTCAACTCTACAGAAACAAAATGTAGTTTCATTGCTTAAAGAAATCAATCATCCGCCACACGCGATTTATTGATTTTAAATTACCAGGAACAAACACAATTTATTGAGTTTTTAATATCAACTTTTCAGAAGAAACTGTCGATTGCATTGGTGATTGTGAGTTGTTATGACAACGATCACAATATCCAACACATCGTCGGTAATGCAATATACAATACAAAAGGAATCAATTTTAAAATTGAAATGTATCAATTAACTTGTCGTCACGTTGTTGACATAGAAAAAACATTCTCACACTTCGATAAGTGTATTACTGTGAATTTACGCGGATTTGTATGCGTATACTTCTGTAAATGGAATTATTTTTAAGTTACTGTGCCTGGTATGCAGTGCCTCACTGATCATGTTTATTTTACTAAGATAAAAAAAACATCGCATATACATTAAATGTTGCTTCAACCGGGAAAAATGTCTTCACACAAAACTGCCTTTAAAGAATACATATACATGAGCGATTTCTTTAAAAGACCATAATTTAATACCTAGTGATAAATTATTTACTTAAAGTTGATTGACACATATTTCTCGGCTGCTACGGTAAGATTAATATCACTAAATGTAATCATTGTATTATGCCAATTATAAATACAGTTGAAGCTACTTGTATTACTATTACGCTACGTTTAATTTCAAACTTATCTGGAATAATAATTAGTTTTTTTTAGTCGAAATCGTGTAGCGTCTTAGTAGAAAGTATGTTTGCAGCGTGCATCTTAAACCAACACCAACGTAACCCAG